AGGGGCGTAGTGGCAAATATTGAAAAATTTGAGTTATCACAACTTTCGGGCCGAAATGGTAAGGGCCGGGGTGGTTCAGCTTTTTGGAGGAAAATATTTTTTTTTTTTAATTGGCTAGTTTCCCCTCAATGAATGTACATACATGCGATTAAATGGATCCAGTACCCTATATCCCTTTGAAAGGGGCGTAGTGGCAAATATGGAAAAATTTGAATTATCACAACTTTCGGGCCGAAATGGTAAGGGCCGGGGTGGTTCAGCTTTTTGGAGGAAAATATTTTTTTTTTTTAATTGGCTAGTTTCCCCTCAATGAATGTACATACATGCGATTAAATGGATCCAGTACCCTATATCACTTTGAAAGGGGCGTAGTGGCAAATATGGAAAAATTTGAATTATCACAACTTTTCGGGCCGAAGTTGTAAGGGCCGGGGTGGTTCAGCATTTTGGAGGAAAATATTATTTTTTTTAATTGGCTAGTTTCCCCATAATGAATGTACATACAGGCGATTAGATGGATCCTGACCCCCATATCCCTTTGACAGGGGGGTAGGGGCAAATATTGTAAAAATTTGAATTATCATAACTTTTCGGGCCGAAGTTGTAAGGGCCGGGGTGGTTCAGCATTTTGGAGGAAAATATTTTTTTTTTTAAAAGGCTAGTTTCCCCATAATGAATGTACATACATATAATTAAAACGATCCTGACCCCCACATCCCTTTGAAAGGGGCGTAGTGGCAAATATTGAAAAATTTGAGTTATCACAACTTTCGGGCCGAAATGGTAAGGGCCGGGGTGGTTCAGCATTTTGGAGGAAAATATATATTTTTTTTTTAATTGGCTAGTTTCCCCATAATGAATGTACATACATGCGATTAAATGGATCAAGAACCCTATATCCCTTTGAAAGGGGCGTAGTGGCAAATATTGAAAAATTTGAATTATCACAACTTTTCTGGCCGAAGTTGTAAGGGCCGGGGTGGTTTTATTCAATCATTATCCATTTTACAAACCTGGTTTGTAAAAACGCGTCATATGACGCACGAAAACCAAGGTTTGTCGACAAACCTCCTTTGTGAATTCGGGCCTTAGACTTTGATCACTTATTGCTTTTTTAGCGTTCCTCATTTTCGTAAATTACCTTTTACAACATTGCATTATTCAGCTATAAAGAGCTACGGTCAAGGCTTAATTAAGGGCACACTTCCTGTCACATACAAAAGAAGCTTACTCTGAATGTGGCCTGCCATTGACCCTCGCCGGGGACAATGGCTGTTGCCCAGCTACAGGCAGAGATCCTTACATAATACCTATTGTTCAGGGGGTTCCCCTTGAACATAGGATCCCCCTGAACAATAGGTATTACATGTATGTAAGTATGTAAGCCACTGGCTACAGAGTGTAGGGAACAGTTGCAAGCCGAGAATGAATAGAATAAGTGAATGGCCAACTGTCTTAATTTGAGTTACGTTTAGCTAGCGGCACAGTGTCCCCCCACTTTTTCAAGTTCCCCCAAAGTGCCCCTTTGTATGTAGAAAAAGTACCTATTTTACTTTGACAAGTGTCCCTATTAATTTGTAAAAGTGCCCCTTCCCCTTTTCAACTCTGATAAGTGCTCCTTTTCTTTTGACACACACCCCTTTTTCTTCGACGAGTTCCTATTTTCCTTTACAATAAGTGTCCATGTTCCATTCTCATTAGTGTCCTTTTAATCTCTAGTAAGTATCCCTCTTTAAGTACGAGAAGTGCCCCTCTTCACTTTTGATAAATGCCCCTATTAAAATCTGATCGGTGCCCCTTTTCTTTCAACTAAAGCTTCTTTTTTTTTCTCTCTCTCTCTCTCTCTCTCTCTCTCTTTCTTTCAATATCTTTCCATTCCCCCATATCTTTCTCGCCTCTCTTTCTCTCATTATGCTCCCCTCTTACCTTATTAATTTGTCTCTTTTCCTCTCCGTTTCATAGCCTTCTCATTTCTGTTAATTTTACTAGGTTTCGCCCTTCTTTTTTTATCACTCTATTTCACTCTTTCTTTTCTTCTGGTCAACTTTTTAGTTTTCCCTTTTTTCTCTCTTTTTTTCTGTTTATCTTTATCGTGCCTTTCAACCCTCATTTTCCTTTTATATGTTCCTTCTCCTCGTAGCTATTTTTTTTCCTTTACTATTTCATCTATCATGTCTTCCTGTTTCTGACGTTTTCCTACCTTGTCTCACGGATTAGTATCCGATACATGTGTAAACCGTGTAATCCTAAAAATAAATCGTGTAATCGTGTTGCGGAGATTTTCGGCGTGTACTGTACATGTTATAAGATTGATTCTAACGCCTATATCCCTTTGACGGGGGTAGGGGCAAATATTGTTAAAATTTGAATTATCACAACTTTTCGGGCCGAAGTTGTAAGGGCCGGGGTGGTTCAGCATTTTGGAGGAAAATATTATATTTTTTTAAAAGGCTAGTTTCCCCATAATGAATGTACATACATGTAATTAGATCGATCCTGACCCCCACATCCCTTCGAAAGGGGCGTAGTGGTAAATATTGAAAAATTTGAGTTATCACAACTATCGGGCCGAAATGGTAAGGGCCGGGGTGGTTCAGCATTTTGGAGGAAAATATTTTTATGCCTCCGCCACCGAAGGTGGTGCCGGAGGCATCATGTTTTCGGGTTGTCCGTCCGTACGTCCGTACGTCCGTCCCGTTTGATCGTTATCACAATATCTCAAGAACCATTTAAGATTTAAACTTAAGACTCGGAAATAGTATTTATCACCATAGGAAGATGATTTGATTAGATTTTGGAGTACGTAGGTCAAAGGTCAAGGGTCACAGAGGTCAACTTATGAAATTCCTTGTATTGAGTTTGTTAGCGCGATATCTCAAGAACCATTTGAGATTTAAACTTCAAACTTAAGGATAGTATGTATCACCATAGGAAGACGATCTGATTAGATTTTGGAGCACGTAGGTCAAAGGTCAAGGGTCACAGAGGTCAACTTATAAAATTCTATACATTGAGATTGTTATCATAATATCTCAAGAACCACTGGAGATTTAAACTTCAAACTTAATGATAGTGTGTATCACCATAGGAAGACAATCTGATTAGATTTTGGAGCACGTAGGTCAAAGGTCAAGGGTCACAGAGGTCAACTTATGAAATTCCATACATTGAGATCGTTATCGCGATATCTCAAGAACCACTGGAGAATTTTCACTTCAAACTTAATGATAGTATGTATCACCATATCATAATATCTCAAGAACCACTGGAGAATTTTCACTTCAAACTTAATGATAGTATGTATCACCATAGGAAGACGATCTGTTTAGATTTTGGAGCACGTAGGTCAAGGGTCACATGCAGAGGTCAACTTGTGAAATTCCATGTCTTCAGCTCGTTATCGCGATATCTCAAGAACCATTTGAGATTTTAAACTTCAAACTTAAGGATAGTATATATATCACCATAGGAAAACGATCAGATTAGATTTTGGAGTACATGTATGTCAAAGGTCATAGAGGTCAACTTGAAAAATTCAGACTACATGTATAGGACTTGTCATGATATGTCAAGAACCACTTGAAATATGTTCCGTTACTTAACCCGTACTTAACTGGGCTATTTTGAGCACCTCCCTGACTGGGGGGGGGGGGGGGGCGGGGCCAATTGCCTCGAAATTTTGAACGCGTCTTGAGAAATTGCGCAAAGGAAGAGACCTCACTATTATTTTGCTGAAAATTGCTTATTTTATCAATTATGCTAAGTTATGCAATTGCATAAAGGAAGAGACCTCACTATAATTTTGCTGAAAATTACTTATTTTATCAATTATGCTAATTTTTGCGAATCAAATTCATGAATAATGATTTTTATTAACAATTACATAAATAAAGCTTTTACAGAGTTGATTTTGTGGCAAAAAGTTTCTAAAAAGCCTATCGGCATTATCACATAAAAAAATTGTCCATGTCTATTTCAATTCTTATGTATTTCATTGTTTTATGAACTTCTTTTGTATTCTATTGTTATTAATTCTTAATCTTATGTATTGTTTTAGGACTACTGATACTTGAGGTTGTTATGTATCAGTTTGCTTGAATAAATGATAACTAAACTCTAAAGAGTAAAATTATGCTGATTTATAGACCAAACTAGAAACTTCACTTTGCCATTCATTTTGTACACAAAATGACAAATTTCTCAATTTTCGGCTTGACCTTAGGTCACAATAGGTCAAGTAACTCTCTAGTTATATTATGTTTTCGGGTTGTCCGTCCGTCCGTCCGTACGTACGTCTGTACGTCTGTACGTCCCGTTTTCGTGTTATCTAAAGAACCGATTGATGGATTCCTGCCAAACTTTGGTCATGTATGTATATTGCAGAGCCGATGAACTGATTAGATTTTGGGGTCACGAGGTCAAAGGTCAAAGGTCACAGGGCTCATTATGTATGCAAAAACGGCTCGTGATCGCGTTATCTGAAGAACCGATTGATGGATTCCTGCCAAACTGTGGTCATGCATGTATCTTGCAGAGCCAATGAACTGATTAGATTTTGGGGTCACGAGGTCAAAGGTCAAAGGTCACAGGGCTCATTATGTATGCAAAAATAGCTTGTGATCGTATTATCATTAGAACAGATTGATGGATTCCTGCCAAACTGTGGTCATTCATGTATCTTGCAGAGCCAATGAACTGAGTAGATTCTTGGTTCAAAGGTCAAAGGTCATGGGCTCATTATGTATGCAAAATAGCTTGTGAATGCATTCTCATTAGAACTGACAGATGGATTACTATTTAACTCAGGACATCTTGCAGAGCCAATGAACTGAGTAGAATTTAGGGTCATGAGGTCAAAGATCACAGGGTCATATATGTATATGAGAAATTGCTTGTAATCACGATATTCTGAGAATCTGTTAATGGATTACAATCGAATTTGAATTTATAAAATTTCTTCCGTTTTGGTTTGTAAAATTGCTCTATGGCGGAGGCATCATTTTCGACTGCGCGCAGTCGAATTCCATCTAGTTTTCTCATGTTTTGTAAGGTGGTCCTCAAAATAATTTCAATCAGCCAAAGTGGGCCTGGAGATTATAAAGGTTAAGAAGCGGCTGAAGGGGTGTTATAAGATACAGAAATATGAAGCGCACTATGCTCTATTTGCCCTTGCAGTTTACTGTGACATATTTGACCAAGGTTTTAGCTCTTGTGATCTCTGAAATCATGTATTTTTGTCGAGTACCACTTCATCTTGTAAGATTCTGCTATTGTATGTCAAAGGACAGAGATGAGCCGTTCTTGAATCTGCATACACGTATGTTTATACTTGATTGTTACTTCTTATCTGTTCACAGAAAAAAAATGGAGTAGAATCAGTAGAGTTGAATTCTTCTTCAACTCTTTTTCCCTCCTGAAATGTCTTCCTCCCCTATCACTTACAGTATCTTCTCATCCTTTGTTTCCTTGTCACATTCCAAATTAATTTTACATTTCATGTCTCTTGTAATCCCCAGGAAATGCAGCAGCTTCTACGTCTTCAGGAGACGGTGCCACTGGTGCCTCTTCCTCCACGTCTTCCTCCCCCTCCAAGAGAGTCCGAATAGCTGTGGGAGGCGTACCTGTTACCATGCCGACCCCTCCCCCATTCCAGTGCAATCTAGACACCATCCAACATGTAGATTGCTCGTGCTGTGTACAACCTATGCCAAAGAGACTCCTAGCACCAGATATGCCTCCTCAGACATGTGAGTATATCGGACAGAGTGCTTAAAGGCATCGTTTAACAATGTTAAATCTGAGATGCACACCCCTACGTGTTATCAGTGTCTGTAATATGGTATAATATTGAGGCCTTAAAAAAAAATCGCGCTTCAAAATGATCAAGAAGTGCCTCAAAAAACTAAAAATCTTTCGGTGACCGCTTTACCATACTCATTATCCCCAATAGACTGTAGTGTTATAAAAACCGTTGGGAAAACGGTTTTTGAAATTTTGAGTTCCAATCATAAATATCTTGATAATCAGACAGGCGATCGGCTTGTAAAAGTCATGAGATTCCTGACTGACCTAAAGGCAAATAATTATGTTCAGTTTCAGTTTGTTTGTTTTATTATCATATCGCAACTTCAGCTGAATTACATGACAATTTACAATCAAATTAAAAATAACATCACATATCATTTCTAAACAACATATTTCATAATACAATGCATTTATATATATATATATATATATATATATATATATATATATATATTAAAAAGGTATGTACAAAATAGATACTTAACATGTAATATAATTAATGTTAGTTAATCTGAGAAACATTAACACTTACAGTTTTCTTACTCTGATTGCAGCATGAGGTAGATCAAGAATTTTGTTTAGAATCTGAGGCAAAGATACCCAATTCCTTTATTGCATTCTTTGCCTTTGCAGTCGCTCATTTGCAACACGTGCAATTTCATTTTGCACCAAAGAATAGACATCAATCAGTTAACGGATTGTTTTGCACAATGCAATGGCTTTGCAAAATTACCCATTTATCAGTCTTGATTATCTCCATGACAACCATTTTAACACCGGTATAGATTAATCTTGCCCTGGAAACCCTTAAATAATATTGAAGCCTTTGTTATATCCATCTCATCTGCATGATTCGAATTGTTGATGGTTGTATTTTTTTTGTTCATATTAATTTTGTCTATTTTTCTTGTTGGTTTAAATAACAACCTGTAGAAGCTGAGGAAAAAAAGATATTTCAAACCTAATCAAAGCATTAACAACAACAGCAACAGCAATATACATACTTGTATATTAAACCGTATATGTATCTTTTGATAACAGGGACTGCCTCGACAGAACCTTATGGTTTTATTTGCAGTTTCCCCAATTCATTTCTATTGATTAACTTTGTATACCTCTGGCATATTTGTAGACATGTTTCCATTTTTTGTGTGTTATATGTTTTCTTTATTGTATATAATCTCTATTTTATATGGATTTTATGGATTTCTATCTATCTATTAATCAGGCTATAGTTCATCCAGACGTTGGACAAAGCCCTCCTCGTCACATTTCCATTCTCTTCTGTTTCTAGCAATCCTAGTCCAAGCGGCCGTTCCCATGTATGATGTTGCGTCATCTTCTTTATGGATTTGAATCGAATAAAATTTTAAAACTGTAAACAAAATAAAGATGACATAAATTAAAATGAATGTTTTTATGATAATTTTGAGTAAGTTGGTTATGGCAGCTAAGCAACAGTTTACTTTGAACCTGTACGTCTGAGACCTTGCTCTTATTTTTTACTGCAGGCTGTGCCTGTGGAAGGAACTATTGTCATTTGTACTGGGGATGCAAGCAGTACAACTGCTTGGGATGTCTCAACAAGTTCAAAGGTCAGTTCTGTATCTCCTAAACCCTCATTACCTTTCAGGGCAGGGATTTTTTTAAGGTATAGACTAGTTCTGGTCATGCGATTGCATTGTGAAAGAAACGTTATGAAATCGATCAGAAAAGGTTGATCATCTAGCATATAAGTATTGGTGTGTGTACCGCAAGGTTCTGGAATCACCAAAATGATAAGAAATTTAGCCCAGTCTTGGTAAAGTTACAAGCACTGTACACAGAAAGAGGTATATGGGACTATGCGATATCTATCCAGTCCGGATAGATATTATAATTTACCAAATATATTGGTTAGTATGCGGTTTCCAGGCAAAATTTATATCATCACTTTTTAGTCAAAACATACTCTTTCACATGATTGGTAATAAGAGCTTCTATTTCAATTTTTTGAGAGGGGGGTGTTTCCAAAACTGGTCTATACCTTTAAAGGAAAATGAAACCCAAAAAACTATAGATAAATAGCCTTATTTAGAATTGTGAGCCAGTATGTGATGTTTCATTGTTCCAATAACATGCAATTTCTCTGAAAACAATATGCATAGGTAATTATAACCTTGTCAAAAAATAGAAAAAAATGTAACACTGCCAATTTAAAGATGTGAAAGCTTCTTATCAGATTGTCTTTAATTACACATTTAGCATTGACTCAATACCTTAGGTGATTTTTCTCCCATCTTAACAATGATCTAGAGTCCCTTCAAGCAAGATGGTGTAACAAATATCTCTCAAATTTAGAATTTAAATGCAAGGAACCATTTCCTTTTATGTAAATATATTCTAAACTTTTCTGCGGATCCCCAGACCCCCATTTATTTGTCATCCTTTTTAGGAAATTCTCTGTCTCATTCCTGTCTTGACCTCCAACATTGATGCTCTGCCTGAGGGCGAAATTCTTGTAAACTAATTTGTATAATTTTTGTTTTGTTTCTCTTGCTTTATAGATATGAAGTTCAGTGAGAGTGTACTGGATACTATAGTAAACAACAACAGATATGAATCAACCATATTTAAAGTAAGTTAAACACTTGAATTCTTAACCTGTTTTTTTTTTTTTGTACAGAAGAATATGCTACCCCAAAATGGGGGAAAACAAAACAAAAGACAACAAAGAATGCTTTGTTGTGTTTGTAAGTAAATTGTTTCACAAAACTACTGTAAGGAAAGGGATAATATGAGTGACAGAGAGAGAGGGAGAGAGGGATCGATATAGGTAAGAGAAAACTAATCTACATGACTGTTAAAATTCTTTTTCTTGTTCATATGTTTTTAAAGTGTCACAGACTTATGACCTGAAATGCTGAAAGTAGTTTATTTTTACCATTTTCCTTGTATTCTTTATTGTAGGATTTCATGTTGTCGAGGGGTCACAACAATATTCATCTTGTTCTACAAGAAGTATTGAATGGACTGGACGCTGGCAAATTTTCAACACCTGGTAATTGATAGTGTTTCAATAAATATTCAAAGATGGGGAGGTGCGATAGCTCAGTCGGTAGAGCAGTGGTCTCGTAATCCGGTGACCCGGGTTCGAAACCAAGTCGATGCGCTAGTGCCCTTTGGTAAGGCATTAATCCTCATTACCAGGTCTCTCGGAGAGGACCTAAAGCCGTCGGCCGTCTGGTTGCTTACTTACATGCATTTATGCTTTCTTAGCAGCCAGGTAAAATAACCATCACCATCACCATCAACAACAAAAAGTGGAGACAGATATGTATTTAGAAAGAAGGGCCACATTTAATGTCATTTTCCCTTCGTCTTGTGATATATCATGAAGGGGAAGCCTACCCTGATATTAGGTGATTTTAATAAAAGTAGAGAAATGAGAGGTACGGATCAGAAAAAGCTCTAGGAGAATACAAAAACATAAGAAAGTGAGTGATATGTGATTGATCAGAGGCTAATAGGCAATTCTTTTACTACCTTTCAAGGACCTCTCCCACTCGCCCCTGACTAAAACAATTAATACATATCTCCTATTTCTAAAGAAAGTATTATATTCAATAATTCAAGCTAGATATAATAATTCAAAATTTTATGTAACAAAACCCCTTTACAAAATACATGCTAAATATATTCCCTCCTCAATAAGCAGGGTGAAGAAAAAAAGAAATATTCAAAGCAAATCAATCAGAGAAGTGCCTTAAACGTTTTTAATGTGAGAAAAAAAATTAAAAAATTCATTAATATGTCACAAGTTTTGTTATAACTTCAATATTCCAAAAGTAGGCTGTATATAGTGTATATTAGCAGTAGTATTTCCTCTGTTGGATGTCTGGCAAGCAATAGGCAGGCTTTCGAGCCATAAATACTGAGTATTATGGAGGAGAATTGCATAGGATTATCAATTTCGCTTCTTTTTTCTCCTTCTTCAGAGACTCAAGTCTATAATATTAGAGGGCACACCGCAGTTTGCTATACATGTTCCTTGAGGCTGTTTCAACAGCTGGCTTACCTCTATAGAGCAGGCATTCCAAAGAATGATCTACCAAGTAAGATATTCTTTTTCTATTATCTGCAATGTTCTATGAGTTTGTTATACCATTGTGAGTTCTCAATGTGAAACTGAATTTGAGAAACTAGGTTAAGTAATTTTCACTTGCTGAACATACACATTATCCTCATGTGCATGTATGACACACATTGAGGCTGCTTACATCAGGAAAATGTTCAATTATCTGGTAAATTTTTCTGAATTTATAAGCATTTTTTAATTATTTGTTGCTGTATTAACATTGTTCGATGCCTAGAAAAAAATGTATGAATTCATAACATCACAGGCTGGCTTCTAATTCTTTCAATTCTTTCCCCCATGGAGTAAATAAACTTTTCTAAGAAATAGTACTTCACTTGACTTCTTCAAAAAACATCTTAAAGCATACTTCTAAAATTCTTCCTAATGTCTTGATTGACTAGGGGACAGCGGGCTTGTATCCTCTGAAAAAGGTGCTATATAAATCCACTATAATCATGATATCAATTATATTATTATCTTTATTCTTAATCATTGAAACCACAATCCCTCAAAAACACCAATACAGATCCATGTATACATTTATGGGATAAGGTATTGTCAGTAGTCCAGACAGATCCCAACTTCATATGATATCTAACTCTACAGATGTATGACTAGAATCTTCAAATCTGTGTGCTTCATTGCAGTTCTAGTAACAGCCAGGCCGGACTGCCACTGGGGGAAGGGCTGCAGAACACAGTTCAACAAGCCACATCATGCTGCGTAAGTATCAAGTCATTTGTTATCACCTAATAAGCCAGTTCATAGTTGCAGTCTGAGCAAGAGCAGATACGGTCATTGCAGACCAAATTGTGAAATACACGGAGACAAAATACTGGATACAAAATACTGGATACGTGCTCACGAAAGTTATGTAATCATTATTTATTTATGCACAAACAGTGCACTCCATGAAACACAAGTGGAAGTATTCTTTGAAAAGGGGAAACAAAGGCTATTTATGTAGCACCTCCATCACTGTAGAAGTGATTATTTAAAAATGTACAAAGTGGTACCTCTTCATGTTTTGAAGATCTGTGGATATTCGGGGTCATTTGGGACATGTGCTAACCGTGAACTGGTCTATTACATATATATTTGTCATATTTTTAAAGTCTATTCAACCTGTGTTTGTTGAATAAACCATCTAAAAATTAAGTTGTGTTGTACTGTTAAAAAATAAATTTGATGTTTTCTGACCTAACAAAAACTTAATGTATGTACTTCTTTGCCATCTTCTTTATGATTAGGCCTAAAAAAAAAATGTTGTATTTCCCTTTAGGTGCCATAACATTGGTCGCTCGGTTGGAAATCTTTTTTTTTGTACTCCCTTGTTGGGTTGATATTTCTCAGTTATGAATGAAAAAAAAAAAAGCCAACCATAGATTTCAAATTTTTGGGTCAGTGGCAAAGGGCAATGCAACATCCTTTTTTTAAGGCCTTGTTCAAAGACGACCAATGACAGCTAGGTCAATAATATCATGCATTGCATATTAAGGAAAGAGCATCCATAAGTTTCAATGGTTATAAGTTATAACTTATAAGTTTCATAAGTCTACTGAACCATTTGCTAGTGTACCAGTGCATGAACAAATATAAAATGTATGAAAGAAATATATTAAATTGTATGGGAAATTAGGTCAGTATAATTTAAGAAGTATAATGAAATAGGTTTTTTCCATTGCAAGATAGTTTCATTGAATACAAGTCAATTAAAATATTTTATTCACTTTTATTTTCTGAGTGAAATATGACTACCGGTAGTTTTGATCACTTCTTGTGACTTCAATGTGACTTTATATTGCTAATTTTATGGTTTTATTCTCCCACTTCTAATTTCCATCAACAGGAACTTCAGCCATGTTTGTGATCAAGTTCGATTCTGATTATGGGTCGTCCTTTGCTGCTGCCATGGAGCGGGTCATTCTTGTCTAGTCAACATCTGCTGGAGTGCACTTCTATTGGTGACCTTTGACCTTGGGAGTAGAGTGATGAGTGTTTATAACTTCTCCAAAGAAGGGTTACTTTGCTCTCTAGTACTTTTGAGAACAGGCTGTTTTATTTTTGTCAACAATGTATACCTCTTTTACTTGCTAAGAGTTGAATAGGTGCTTGTTTCATATATAAATGTATGAGTCTCCAAAGCTGGTTTCTTTCCTCTATGAATGCTATACTTCTCAAGTGAAACCGCAATTCCGTTACAGATTTTTACTTTTTATACTTTTACATGAGAATATATCTCTCACATTAATGTAAATGCTGTAGTACAGCGTTTTTGAAACCTCTCATAGTCATGGCACCTTTTTAAGAAATGAAACATTTCGTGTCACCAGAATCCCAAAGTCATCGTCGAAGAGTCAATTTGCATCACTCTCTGGCTTTCTTCATCTTGCTACAGGTTTCAATCGCTCTCCCTGGATGGTGTTTCACAAAGCCATTTTTCAATGACAAATGACAAAAATCAGTGACAAATCTGCTGATAACCAATCAGAAGCAAGGATTTCAGTAGCTTATAACAAAAACTGTCATTTGTCACTGATGACAAGTTTTGTGAAACGCCCCCCTGGTGTAACAATTGATGATGAACTTGTTGGTTCTAATTCAAAGTCTGCTTCGGGAGCTTTCCTCTTCTTGTCTGGTTTATTTTATAAACACTTTTGAATTCATGCGGCACTGTCAAAACACTCAAAACCATACAGAACAATAAATTTGGTATTAACATGTGATCATAAACGTTCATATAACTTTGCCCGCACATTTCTGAATTCACAATGCACAATCCACATTATCTAGTGTGAAGAGCAATAAAGATATTTTACAAAGTCCCTTTTCCTTCATACATTACTTTCATTTTCCACAGGCATGTAGTTGCTGTAATAGAACTATCCGATGTGATTAATGGACATTAATATCTTCTTGCACAGTAGCTATCAGTATGTAATGTACCTGTATTTAGCAGCCAACATTGATTAAGAATAACATTTCATGTCATTTTTTATTATAAAGCGCTTTGTGAAACGGTTAATGTAAAGAGCGGCAAAGTGATTTATAAAGCCCTTTTTCATTCCCTCCTTTCATGTTGTACGGGCATCCGGTGTTTAGTTTTTGGAGTGTTTTATGGCATGTCTTGTGCTAATGATGTGGGGTACATTAGCAAATGAAAATCGATTTAAAGACAATGTTGATAACTAGTCATGCAATTTCATATGAAATACAAAGTCTAGAAGTTATTGGGAAAATTATGATTACTGTATGTAGTGATTATTAACTATTTTTTGAGGTTTTGGAATCATCCAAATGATTTCAAGTTTACTGAATTTTGCTGGAAACAATGCACATTGAAAAGAATTGCATACATACATGTACAAGGGAGTGTATATTCTGTTGTATCAAATGATCTCCAAAGTTTCTAGAAACTATCTCTTGTCTTATATGTGAAACATGGGATCATTTCAAGGGCAATCCTTTTAGTTGGACATTGTCCCAATTATAGTCATCATCATTGGAATAGAGCGAATGAGAAATCTTGCAAATGAATTTCACTGTTATGAAAACTCCACCGTCTCTTTAATCACATTTTATGACATGTTTTGTGCTAACGATAGTGAGTGAAGTAGATGAATGAGAAATGATGACAACAAAATGGCCCAAAACTTCCTCACAACTGCCATCTATCACAGCTTTGTTTTGACATAGTGAGATTGATGATGTATGGAAGTGGCTGGAACAATGTCAGCATCATAAATCCAGTGTATTTGGCATTGCACTGGCATGGGCATAATTCTACATTAAAGATAAATGTATACCTTCTTAAATGTGCAAATGGTAGTATAGGCTCTGTGGTATCATAGCTTCTTTTTTATTAAATAGTGTTTACAAAATTGGCACTGTATTTTAACCATGTTCAGGAAGTTGGTAATTGTAAATTCATATTTTGTATAGATGTATATGTATATTCATCATTTTTCCATACATTAGAAACTACTTAAAATGTTCTTGGCAATACTGTTCCTTTAAAGAATGATGTGTATGTTTTTTTGTAAATCTTGTCTTATTCTGTATAATAACTAGAGAAGGAATATATATATTGTTTAGTCCGACTGGAATGTCATTTTGAATGTTGTGTGTAAACTGCTTGTACATGCATATGATGTGTAAATTGCTTGTACACAGTTATATTGAAGAGTTATATTGAAGAAATCATAATCGCAAGAAATTATCTTTTGTTATTGTTGCTGGTGTAAAAAGTACATTGATGGTAATACAATACAGCCAATACAACTACTTTAATACTCTCATCACTCATTTGTGTAAGGTAATGTTGCTTATTATGTGTACATTTGACTTAGGTATAATGAATTAGGATTGGTATAATTCCTGATTTTGTTTCTTTTTCAAAAAGTACTTAGTTAACTGCAAATAAATTATTCAACTGTCAGAAAGGGGGAGTTGATTCATGTTGTAGTACTATGTAGGGATTGTTTGAAATTAAGATTTTATTTTAAGATTGTATGGATTCCTCTTCTTTTCATCATGAATTTATTTTGGTATAGTTTAGATTTGAAGTAGATATGCTGCACTCAGTCTTTCGTGATGAATAAATCTTGCCTAGTTGAATACAATTCAGTTACCCTGGTTTATTGTGATACCTGTTGAATCTTTTGTATGGTTTGCTTTAATGTGTGTGTGTGTGTGTGTTGATGCTTTCCTGATATTTAGAGCAAATATTTATACTCTTCCACTTTTAAAAGTCAATAAATGAAACAATCTAAAATATATACGAACATGTCTTTATTGCTTTGTTTGTTACACCAGTTTGTAAGTGTTTAACATGTCTGGAAAATGTAGAACATTTACTTACATTTGTGCTTTACAGATGTAGATTTATTTGTAGTTTATACACACTGTAAATTAAATTTGATTCATCAAGAACTTTATTTTTGTTAGTACTAGTAATAAAAAAAGGTATTTTAATGAAGACTGAAAACAACACACTCTCCTTATCTCATTAATTTCATATGTATGTGGAAATCATTCCTTTCAATGTCCTTCTTCACCTCAGAATAGTAAGTTATATTCATTGTGCATTATAAATTATAGTACCGGTAGTAGTAGAAGTCGTAGTAGTAATATGTATTGTAGTAGTGGTGATATTATCATTGATATTATTACCTTTTTTTTAAAATCATTATTATTACAAAAATAATCTTGAAACTATATACATGTATTCTGCACGGGCCGCTAGCCGTAGTAGGGGCGGTGTCTGTTAGGCAAAGGGCTCATATCTCGGTCACATCGCCACACCAAATCCAAACTGAACGATTCTTGGCCATTCAGTGTAGAGTAAGATTTTTTTAAAAACTCTATATGTACGCTAGCTGTTGGTCTCTAGTCGTTCTGGTCGGTGTGAATGGGATATAGGTTTTATACATGATAATTGTTGACTTAGACAATGTTTGATTGAATACTTAAAACAATGCATGTTTTATGTTATCTCTATCTTGCATTAGCTCTCAGATTTAAAGGGCAGATGCCAGTCAACTTGATAGCTATTGATAGCGAAATGCTATATTTACCCAGTGCTGTGTTCTTGGTATATTTTAATCTAGACCCCCTAGCATGCTATATTGATCCATTTAATCATTAACGTCTTGAGTCATTAGCTATACAAACATAACGCCCGAGTCTCAGGCCATGCATATGCCATATGCCTACCCTAGAAAATGGGTTCGGTTTCGTTTTAAATATACCTGCATGTAGTATTGTTGTCTTGCTCATTGTGGGAGAGAGAAATGGAATAAAGAGAGCAATTATAAAGATGATTTGGGAATGAATAGAGAAAAGAAGAGAGAGAATATATTTGAAAAGATCCCCCAAGAAACTGTCAAGGATGGATAGATACCAACAAAATGAACGCCAGACAAATGTAACAAACGTCAGAAAGTAAGAGGGAAGGAAGAAGAGAAGGATTAGTGGAGGGGTGCATTAATTATTAAGAGCTAATGATTAATGAGTCGGTAGTAACCATGCACTTCAAGTGGAATCTATTGTAATGTGTCCCGATATTTCCAATCATTCTAAAGCAGTTATAATTATGCCAATCTCGCGGGAAACCTGGTGATCTCTAATCCATGTCCTAGATTGATTACCAAATTACAGTTAGGTTTATTGCTCTATACTGCTGTTCATTTAATGATCATGATTTTCATGCTTAATTTGAGTTTTATTTGATGAATTATTTATTTGCTGAATTCACCGCACTTTCCAAATGTAAATTAAGACGCACTTATTTACATGAGACAACCCTCCCTTCAACTGTCTAGCGACTCCCTCCCCCTCCTCCCACCCACGATATAAAAAGCAAGCTCATACCCGATGCTTATCATCTGCGTGTCAATACCTGCGTATCGTTGCACACTGATAAAGAATGCTGTGCTTTCTTAATAGCAATTAAATTGTCCGTCGTAAGACGTATAATATACATCGTTCAATCACAATCTTTGTCGGTTTAAACTGGATTTTGTGGAAGTTTGGGAAGCGAGTTATTCATTGGAACATGGACTAGCTGTCTCCAAAATGATGGCCCATTGATTCAGCGAGTCCAGATATATTTCAAGCGGTAGTTGAGAATGTAATAGTGCAGAGAGCAGACCGGGCCGGTATACCAACTTTGTGAACCAAAAAGTGCGTGGTACGTCTTCATGTTTGTTGTTACATTGATATTTTATCAGTTCTTTTGGAAGATAATGCGATGTCTCACTCTCAAGATACGAAATGAGTTTGAACTTTGGAATTGACTCGAACAGTTTTCAATCGGATTAAGCTCTGTGGAACCGACTGAAGGTGATGAGCCAAGGATATTTTCTTGGGTTACAATTTCAATGTCTTCTGTATATAAGAAGAAACGGAGCAGAATAATCTTTATGACTTTGTGTCTGTCCAAAATGAATATTGGAACCACATTTGGAGTAAATAGGCCTTCTTTGCATTACATTTTATGATACGTAGTTTGCTATACCGTAGCTTTCCTCTTCGTTTTTCGCGAACGTGTCAATTTTATCGGACAACCTTTCGCGCCATTTTTATCAAACGCTCTTGAAGCAGACGACATACTCGTTTCGCCGGGACGGGATTTATGCGACATGTTGTGGGTGGGCAGGCGATAGATATTGGATCGTGAATCAAAATCAGGAATGTGTTTTCAAAGGTGACTTCGCTGGACATTTTAAGTGAAGGTAATATACATAAACGTAAATCATACGTCTTTCATTGTAAAATCTATCAGCTGTGCTACTAACATTGGCTTTGAGTTATTGACTCTCGGTAGATTTGCTTTTCAATAGGCCTATAATCTCTACACTTCTCTCCTCCGTGCTCTCTATTCTAATTTTAATTTTTGGGGTGTTCATTTTAACACCTTCTCTCCATTTAACTTGTTCTTCCATTGCTTATTGCAACCTCTGTTATCTCCATTCGATATGATATTAATGTTAGTTGTTTTGATCTAAATACATACATGTACGTGCAGATAGTCAGTTACCCGCAAGAACTTAAGGTCATTTACTTACGGCCTTATCGCGGACAGCCGACGAGATTATATAACGCTATTAATTTCCAAAGAGGTTTCGATGAAATTAATCTTTTCTTAATCTCCCTCTTCCTCCACAATTGAAATTCATCTTCCTTTCTAAAAAGACTCTTTAATCCCTTCCCTAATGTGTGTCGTATATTCAGTTGTTTCCGGCTTTACTGTTCAAGTTACTTTTTTTCTTGGTGACTGTAGGCGTAGCCTCCAACTAAATTCCTTCCTTTCTCCAGGGGCGTCGCAAGAGGGGTGTGTGGGGGTGTCATACACTCCCATTCAAAGTGTTCCAGCGACGCCCCCAGCCATTCTCCACAATCACAATTTTCAGTCTGTCAAGCTCCTTTTCTCAGCTCTTGTGATGTTTTAGATGAATACAGACGAGCATCCAATACACTGTTTAACACTTTCCATGATAAAATTATATCTAAAAGAATAGAATATTACATAAATGAGTCTTATTTACGCGGGGTGTTCACAACTATGCGGGCCCCGCAATTATGGTTACCTCAGCAATTACCAGGTACCTATTTACACCTGGATGGGGGAGGGGGGGGGGGGAGGGGCAGGGTGGCACATGACATTGTGGATTAATATCTTGCCAGAAGATGTTAGTGCCAGCCTTGGATTCGAACCATCACCTTTAGAATTGAGAGTCAAGTGAATGAACCACTATACCACGGCTCCTTCACAATATTACGATACCGCCACGTGCGGAGGGTGGAGGTATATTTACCTCAAAACATATTTGTTCTTCAAACCTTCTTCATGTTCGTGCAGACAGGCACATTTATGATGGCGGTCGATCGAAATTTCCCGGATCTGGTAATTCTATAACCATTACCATACTAACCGTTAAGCTGGGGTATCGGTTTCTCTTGCCTTATACCATAGACGTAATACTCGCATGATAGGTTTGTAATTGTGCACACTTTTCCCCTCCTTGCACAACCTTAATTCTTGAACATGATGTAAGAAATCTATTTTATATCACATTGATTGCATTGCCATATACCAGAATTGTGTTATATTGATTATGTGTGTCTATAATATTGATATCCTCTAAAACTGTTATAGACATGAACTGGATAACACTAAAAAGCTGGCTATTCTTCCGATGTTGTTCAAACTCTTGTAGATCTTGTAATAGCAACTTTAGATACCTATGTTCAAGGGCGGCACCACGGGGGGGGCAGGGGTGCGGACGCCCCCTCCCTATCATTTGAAAAAAGGAAGAGGAAGGGAAGGAGAAGAAAGGAAAAGAAGGAGAAGAAAAGAAAAGGAAGGGGACGAGAAGGAGGAAGGCCAGGAGAAATATTTTCAATGTGCGAAACTGTGTATCCCATAATAATGGTCTAGTGGTTAGAATTCGGCGCTCTCACCGCCGCGGCCCGAGTTCGATTCCCGGTGTGGGAACGTTCTCTTTTTTTTTAAACTATCAAATGTAAATTATGACGTACGGGAAGGCGGGTGGAGAGGGACAAAAATAAAGATAGAGAAAATAAAGAAAAAGAGAGCGAAAGCGAGCCAAATCAGGCGATCAGATTTTATTAATAGACGCGTCATTATTACATTCACATTACCGGAATTTCAAACATTGGTTTACGATGAAAAACCTTTCACCAACTGAAAAAAAAATCATATTAATCCCTTGTATCTATTAAACCTTATGGCTGATTGTTCAATGGAAACGACAAATTCATCGATAACAACCCTTTTGAAAAATATGGTGACACCCCCCCCCCCTCCCCCACCCTGCGTTCTTGGCAAAAATTTTGCACCAAATCAAGCCATTTAAGCATCAATTAAAAAAAATTCGTCATCACCCTGCGTGGCGCGCCCATTCGCCCCCTAACAAAATAATCTGGCGCCGCCCCTGCCTATGTTGTTGTGTTTGCAGAGCTTTTTCAAAAGAAAACAAATCAGAATAAATCATCTAGCAGCTGGTTCATTGAACCCGCTGTCTATTTGCTTGTTTGGGGGCCAGCAACAAATCCATCCTTGATAGGTCAGTGAACTGAAAGACATGATGGAGATGGGAGTAATTTCCATCCATTACGGCTCAACTTGGCATCACATGTAGCCACGCCCCCTTCTCATTTTGTCCATCTCTACATACACATCCCGCTCAATATCTTCCTTTTTTTCTCGCTTTGTTTATATTTTTTAATCTAAGTGACACTGGGAATGAGAAGGGGGAATGGGAAGGGGGGTGGGAAGGGGGAGTGAGGAGGGTGTGTAAGGGATTTTGCGTCCGGACCAGACATAGAAGCTTGATTTTGTTGTTTTTCGATCTAGCTTGCCCCTCCACTTAAAATGCTGGTCACGCCCCCGGTCACGCCCCCTCACTTTCTCCATCCTTCACTCTTTATTTTGTTCTCATTTTCCTTTAAAAAAAATCTGTTTCTGCATTTCTGTCTATCTTGCTTACCCCCCCCCCCCCCAACCCTTCCAACCCCCCTCTCTCTCTCTCTCTCACACACACACACACACACACACACACTCTCTCTCTCTCTCTCTCTCTCTCTCTCTCTCACACACACACACACACATACACACACTCTCTCTTGCTCAATTTATCCTGACCAAGGAAGAGACCAAACCATTTTGCACAGGAAGCCAAGAAACCTCATCGCTTATAAAACATCGCGTATGTCTGATATATTTTACGCTAAACTGACCTCAGCCATCAGTTAGCCGACTCGACATCATAGACTGTGCACGTTTAGTTGAGTCCAGTCGGTAGACATCTATCTATTTTGTCCATGAGCTTCAGAGAATGAATACATCTATTTTTAGGTTTTATCGTAGAAGTTTGATTGATGTCAGCATTTACAATACAATAAAAGGTAGGCTTAATACAACCATTTCTATTTTTTTTTTATTCTCGCGCAACATGACGTTGAAGTAGTGTAAGAGAGAACTAAACCGATTCATTAATTGATTAAATGTATTAGGAGTATCTTTGTTACCCGAGTGATAGAGATCTAGTATAGCCTGCATTATGCATGACAGTAAACTTCTAGAATCTAGATCTATACATTTAGGTCCCATCCGATGGGCCTGATAATGAAATATCAAGGGCCCTCGTCAGATCATGGTATCGAACCATTGACCTACCGATGTGTGGATCAGTGTTCCATAACAACTAATCCATATTATTCACCACCTTATACAGTCAACTTCTCGGCGCAAAATTATAATGCGTTTGAATACTGATATTGGATCAGGCTGAATCATATTCAGGTGGAGTTCTAGTTTATCATGTTTAGATAGGGTGCACTTGGCATTTCGCATCATACAGGCACAGCTACCGCGAAGTGGGCTATTCTGCCATTATACATATATATAATACAATACCTACAATGTATTAGATGAAGCAGATTACAATGGTGGCAACTAATGGATGAAAATCAGTTGATGTTTTTTTAGGTTTAGGTTTGTATATTGTACCATACATGAAGGCCTTTATACTAAGTTAATCCGCAGTTGGCACAGGATATCCTTGATGCGCAATTTCCCATCTTAATTACTCCAAAAGTATACTACGGCAGGAAAATAGTGTAACCTGAATATGACATTGTAAAGTCATGAAACTCTTGTAGAATATTCATCCTAACTATCAATGATCCCACACCTCATAATTCTTGCATTTTTTTAAGGGCCCCATTCCTGTTGCACATTTTTTTCTTCTTCTTTTGTTTAAGGGGAAATATATTTCATAACAATAATAATTGTTATTGTCCACAAAATGTGAAAATATGCTTTCCATATGTCAAATGTCAACATTTATCTAATTACTAGTATGATATTGTTTAAACGTTCAATTTTTGAAAAATATTTTGTATATTATGTTGTATTGTTAAAATGTAATTTGATTTGTATATTTTGCAGCAGATATTAAATTAAATTCAAATTCAATTTAATAAGAAGTCCGAAAGAAACACCGCAAGGGATACATACATTTAAAACCAAGGTTATATCAAGCCGTTTTACCAGAAACAGTGTTATTTCATTTTCAAGATCTTTCGATCTCTTTTCTGGACTCTACATTCTGAACACCTTCGAATTTTTAAATAGGGCATATAGTGGCCCACAATGTAGAATTTAATATAGCAAATGAGGGGCAGCGCGGGGCAAAATGTATGGACTACTTGGAAAATCCCAGCTTTCTAAAGCGCGAATCGTTTTGGGGCCATTCCTCCCTACCCCCTACCCAACCCCCGTTAAAATTTAAAAAAAAACATGCGTTGCTGATATATACTATAAATATTTAGGCATTAATAAAGGAGGAGGCAATTCGCCGTTTTCGCCCTGCCATGGATACGCTGCATCCTAAATTCAATATCATAATAATTTATAAGATGAGCATTATAATTATTATGCTGGTTAAGATATTGAATAAAATATTTAATCCACACCTTTAGGTTTATTCTTAAGAGTTAAGAGCCTTTCATGCTTTCATTAATCAGTAACTGACATTAATCTCTTAAGATGAAGTTACCTTTTAACAAGACATAGTCCTATATCAAGAAGACAAAGTAATTTAGATCTTGAGACGGGGCTCGTGATACTTGTTGATTCTATATTATTAAGGACAAGATGTAAAATTTGATGAGAAGCGTCTCGCGTCTGTTTCATCAAGTACGTACTTCATTTCAAAGAGACGTAATGGGCTTAATCACAACACCAATTTCATCCTCTCTTCCATCTGTCCATTAAGGGCGTGCCGCATCCTTAAAAGAGAAGGGACGAAATGAGTTTGATGACGGCAACAAAGTGCATTCCATGATTCCCTGTTTCAGTGGCGGATAAAGGGGGGGGGGGACACAGTCGGCCCGTCCATTTTTAAAACATAAGTGACAGACATCCAGTACAGAAGTAAAAAAAATTATGCAGCCCCCTCCCTTGCCCCCCCCCCCCCCAGACTTTGAGGGTGATGCCTGTCAGAAGTTTATTTAGTGAAATGGACCTGAATATTTCTGACTTTTTTTTTGCTCATCAGCAAATTTTTTAGGAATTGTGTACCCCCTCTTTCACAAATTCCTGGATACGCTATTGTCTTCTCTCAATAAGGATGTACTTCATCTTAAAGAGAAGGGCTGAAATGGACTTGATTATAATTATGACGCCAGTTGGATGGAGCTGACCATCGGGTCACTTGATAACGGGAAGGAAATTAACCCAATCAATTTCTACTATTCTCGCTCTCAATGTTTCCGTCTTCTGCCTCTTACTTTCTCTCTCTTCATCTGCCTCCCATCCCCCTGTCCTTTCCCTACATATCTATATTTTCTCTCATCTCTCCCTCCCCTTCTCGTCCCATCTCCTTCTCGCTTTTACACTGCAAAAACAAGGGTGTTAAATTCAACACCGTGTGTGTTAATTTTAACACTTTCCCGGTATCTATATCGGAAAACACCAGCTGGTTTGAAATTAAATAATTCAATTCCACTCTTGGTGTTGAGGTAATTCCGCCTTTGGTGTTAAAATCTAACACAATTTCTTTCAACACCGTGGTGTGTAAAATTTAATCCTGATTTTTTTTGTTAAAATCAATACCAATGATTTAACACTTAATTCAAAGAATCCTGCGATGTCTGTTGGATTTAGTGGTAACATGTGTAACTTTTCTGTCTGCAGAACAAATTTTCACACTTAACGGCATGATTGCGCTGATGCAATAGGATATTCAGACCTTGACTAAAAATTTCATAACCACGATATCCCGAAGAAATTCTTGACAGCTAGCTCGCGCATGCGCATGCACGATACGACGTCATATCATTTGACAACTGTCGTCCAATGATTTTGCTCGAATCCACTAACTTAGGCGCATGCGCAAGTTCAACACCATAACACCAAGACTCGGAACATCAACCTGTAATTAAATATTTCGACACTCTGTTGGTGTTGAACGAACGTGAACGGACGTGAAATTAACACCAAGGGTGTTGATTTTTTCGTATTCCGTGCTGGTGTTAGAAATTTAACACCCTGGTTTTTGCAGTGTATGAATCTCTCTTAACCCTTCCTCAAGGATGAGTGAAGAAATGTGGTATCATTTGTTTTTCTGAAATTATCAATTAATTCGATTATTGATCCTTGCCAACATTTTATTTCTTCTCCTCTCTCTCTTATTTCAGAAAACACCCAATCTGTCAGACCTTAATTCTACTCGACCAGGGCGAATGATATGGAAACAGCTAGTAATCCCAAATTACGTGCGTTCTGGAAAAACGACGATTTCTGCAAATCAACATCGAGGCAATAGCTTATCGGACGACCGCCCTCTTCGTTCGGCACTTTTGGGCACATTCGGCTAATTTTCAGCACAGCTCTGTCTTTTGATATTGCAGTCTTTGCCGGTTATTTTAACAATGCTTTCAAGATATAGATATTCAGACACTGATGAATTAAAATAAAGTTTGAACAGTTCCCGAAGGTATTGAAACTGGGTCTTTACAAATGTGAAATTTACTTATACGAATTTTCTATCAACTGTACTATAATATGGTGAACATAATTGGATGACGAGAGAAAGGAGAATCAGTTAAGGGCTGCAAAGCTCGCTTCTTTTGTGGAATCAAGTGCTGCAGAATCATGATCCTCCCAAGTACATCAAACCCGTCGTATGATATGGGAGTTGAATACGATGTGTTCGACGTCAACACGACAAGCAATGGAACAAACGATGAGGACGTGGACATGTTTCCCACTCCGCGGTATGTCGGACGCTTCTTACAAACGGCCACCATGACCATCATCTTCGTGGCCGCGTTGCTAGGCAACATCTTGGTCATTCTCCTGTGCATGAAGAAGCCCAAAGAGCTAAAGGTGTCCCGTCGCCTAATACTTCACCTGGCCATCTTGAACCTCTGTATGACCATCCTGGTGCTACCGTCGGTCATTGTCTCTGCCGCGGCCCAAGAATGGGTGATGTCCAACGCTTGGTGTATGGCTCAGGGCTTCTGCAAGAATCTCTTCTGCGTTGCCATCATCCTCAACCTCGTCCTCATAAGTGGGGACCGGTATTTCTCGGTAGCCAAACCACTGCATTATCACTCAAGTGTCACCGTCAAGTACCATGGGATAATCCTAGGTGTCATATGGTTTTTGAGCACTTTAGTGGCACTTCCACCGTTGATCGGTTGGAACAAAATCTCGTACCACCCAAGCCGTTACATCTGCACTGGTAATTGGTCAGCGGATGATGTCAGTTACACACTCTTTATATTCCTGATTGGATTTGTCACTCCGTTTCTTTTGATGATGTTCGTCTACTGGACGATCTATCGCGCAGCTCGCCGACTCATGAAGCGCAAACAAGGACGTCGGCTGAGCCAGGACGTTACTGATTCAGGGTCCGGCTCAGGTGGGGGATCTGTCCGCGTAAGTTCTAACGCTCATCATTCATCCGAACAGAGCGGGGACAGTCGTAGCTCTTCGCGCCGCAATAGAAGTAGCATATTTAACCGAAACAGCAGCAAGCGCAGCAATCGTATCAACGTAACCGACGAATGGAAAATTGCGAAGACAGGTGTGATCGTGATGGCATCTTTCGTCATCTGCTGGTTGCCTTATTATATCGTTCTTATGGTTGACGCTGCGTATGGTTTTGGAACAACAGTTCCCCTTTCAATGCCTTATGCTTGGTGGGAATGCTTCGCCATGTGGATGGCACTTAGTAGCTGTGCCATCAATCCCTATGTCTACGTCTTGCGCAGTCCACCTATGCGCAAACAGGCAAGCAAGGCCGCCCATAATGTCCTTGCCCGCTGCAGACAATGTTGCGAAGAAGACTCGCGGACGATTCGCCGCCGCCAATCCGAGAAAACGGGACGCTATTCGTTTATGAGGATTAGCAACCGATTCAGCAGTCGCAAACGACCAACAAAGAAACAAAATGTTAAGGACAAGCATCCCCAGGCAAATGATAAACACGAACCTGAAGCGCAGCATATGATGCAGGAGAAAATAGATCCGAAGACGACTCCTCAAACAGTAGACCAGGTAGATGGGGTGCCACCGGAGGCCGAAATCGAACTCGTGTCTCACAGAAAGATAGACGTCTGAAACTGTGGTAGTATTGGTGAATAAACCCGTAAACTGCATGCTTACTGTTGTTTTGGCATCATGATTTAACGCAGCGTTTTATCAAGGAACAGTGAGAATGTAATGTGGTGTCAAGGCGGTAGGACACATCAGATATTAGGGGGCTTCTGTTTTTATATCATACTAAGAACTGCATCAAAAAGGTATTCATAAAATGTTTACAGTGTTGACATGGTTGATGATTTGATAAACACTGATGAAAAAAATGACTTGGTAAGACTATTTAGTGAAGAATTGTTGTTAACTGATGTGCCCCCTAAAAGAAACCAATCAAACTATAGAGGACCACAGAATCAACCTAGGCTCTACGGGGAAAGAGATTTGAGACTTTTTATTCTGATTTAAAATTCATTCAAAATCTACCGAATAGACCACATGTCTCTCCCATGGAGCGAGCCAGACATTTTCTGAACACTGAATTTGTATGTCAATAAATATTCCACCATGTAGAGGGAAGGATTATTAAGGGGTATACTTAAGGGTAGTTTTTCTAAATTGGTTATTGTCAAAGAAGTAGCTATCCGTGGTAGTTGTTTGAATTAAGGCAGTATGATCGTTTATTTTTCGCAAACTCAGCCCCGGAATGGAGTCAACTATTTTTAGATCGCTAACTCTACGTTGAATAAGCAAAATTATGGAAATTAATATTATCCCAAAAGTGTTGTACGGCTATATGTTTTTATGTTGCAGATTGTTCAGTGAATTGTGTTTAAAAAATAAAACTGACGATTACGAAATAAGTCTGTGTTTGTAAGCGTTTGGTGGTATACACAAACTGTCGGTTATGTTAATGATTTTGTGGTAAATAAATGTGGTCGTGAAAACACTGGAAAACATTAATTTCTTCTTTATTAAAACCTTCTAAACCTAGAACTAGATTATATACGTATTTAGCTCAAACATGTCAACGAAAAAAGTGCTTTGTTACTTTCTTAAATTGTATGAAGACTGGTAGCCTACCCGAAATGGGACAAAGGAAAGGCCGAAACATTGAAAGGGCAGAAAATGGGAGATGGAAAAGAAGATGGGAGGGAAGAAGGGAGAGAGGGAAAGAGAGAGAGAGAGAGGGTGGAGGGAATAAAGATAGAAAGGGGGAGAGGAAGGGGCGTAAAGGAGAGAGAGAGGAGAGAGAGAGAGAGAGAGGGGTGGAGGGGGAGGGAATAAAGATAGAAAGGGGGAGAGGAAGGGGCGTAAAGGAGAAAGAGAGAGAGAGAGAGGGTGGAGGGGGAGGGAATAAAGATAGAAAGGGGAGAGGAAGGGGCGTAAAGGAGAGAGAGAGAGAGGGAGAGAGAGAGAGAGGGTGGAGGGGGAGGGAATAAAGATAGAAAGGGGAGAGGAAGGGGCGTAAAGGAGAGAGAGAGGGAGAGAGAGGGTGGAGGGGGAGGGAATAAAGATAGAAAGGGGAGAGGAAGGGGCGTAAAGGAGAGAGGGAGAGAGAGAGAAAGGGTGAAGGGGGAGGGAATAAAGATAGAAAGGGGAGAGGAAGGGGCGTAAAGGAGAGAGAGAGAGAGAGAGGGGGGAGGGAATAAAGATAGGAAGGGGCGTTAAGGAGAAAGAGAGAGAGGGTGGAGGGAATAAAGATAGAAAGGGAGAGGAAGGGGCGTAAAGGAGAAAGAGAGAGAGAGAGAGGGTGGAGGGAATAAAGATAGAAAGGGGAGAGGAAGGGGCGTAAAGGAGAAAGAGAGAGAGAGAGAGGGTGGAGGGGGAGGGAATAAAGATAGAAAGGGGAGAGGAAGGGGCGTAAAGGAGAAAGAGAGAGAGAGAGGGTGGAGGGGGAGGGAATAAAGATAGAAAGGGGAGAGGAAGGGGCGTAAAGGAGAGAGAGAGAGGGTGGAGGGAATAAAGATAGAAAGGGGAGAGGAAGGGGCGTAAAGGAGAGAGAGAGAGAGAGAGAGGGTGGAGGGAATAAAGATAGAAAGGGGAGAGGAAGGGGCGTAAAGGAGAGAGAGAGAGAGAGAGAGAGAGAGAGGGTGGAGGGAATAAAGATAGAAAGGGGGAGAGGAAGGGGCGTAAAGGAGAGAGAGAGAGAGAGAGAGAGGAGTACTAATTCACTTTTGATTTTGATATCTAGATATTAGATAAAAAACAACAGTAGGCCTATTTATGCGGAAGGTCCAGAACCAAGGGATATCCTTATCGGCATTTACCACGCGGAGATTAACGCAGGAAATTATACCTTCCCCTTCCCGTCCTTTTTTTATATTTACTTTTTAATATATCTATAACTGTGTTGATAAATCGAGACAACTCCTGACGTCCACCCCTTTCGCCACTCGTATTTTCCAGCACATGTGCCATCAGGCATGTCAAGGGCGCAATTCAGTTCAGGGAGTATTGTGGCGACCGCGACCTATTATAGTTATCTATCAAAATTGTATTTCTATTATTTAAATCCCATATTTTTTGCAATAATTACGATGCAGTATCGTTACCATGCAAGGGTGATTTCCCGTGGGTGTTGCGTTGGGGGAGGCGTTGCCTTATTGTATCAACACGTACCCCCCCCCCCCCCCCCAATGGCCTGTCCACCCGTTACTTGTATAACAGTACTGCCCTACTTTTTCCTTGGAAATATTATAGTTTATTGTGGACTGATAATACAATAGGCTTACTGAAAATAGATGGATCAATGAGTTTTCACGCATTTTTGTCAGTCAGCTCCTAAAATGCACTGCCCCTGACGTACTTGTGGTTTGGGCAACACTGTACCAGCAATTACCATAAGGCAGTTTTAATAAGGTATGAGCTGCACCTTGACAGGAGCATATTCAACATCAGTTGCCGGCCACGCCAGTTACACATCGATAGAAGGCTTCACATAAAAAGGTCTGGGTTGTATTTACCGGCTTCCAGCTATATTTAGAAAGAACAGTTAAGTCCCCCAAATCTGCAATTTATCGCTGATTTTAACACAGCCCTAGAGGAAGGCTGATTTGCAACTGTGACTTTTTACCAGTTTGAAGCAACGCCCTATTATTCAGACCCTTATTAAACTCTGCCCAGTTCGACTCAAAGATGTCTTCGACCACGATTTCCTCTTTCGTCTCTCTCATCCTCCTCCTCTGCGTCTTCCAAGCGGACTGCTACGGTTCAGGTGCGCCAATGACGGCCTGTGATTATGGGAACCCGATTCACCATTCCAGGAGCAGTAACTACACCGAGATGTATGTACCTCAGTCGGCTCCGAACAACCCCTTCAGGTTCCTAGCTCATTCCCCTACCTACCAACCAGGAAAGGGTCTGAGAGGTAACAAAAATATTTCGTATTTGTTGAGACATAGTTGTATTTTCACTTCCATCTTCTGTCATTTGCCACTCTCCACCCAGGTGTAAATGGGTATCTGTGAATCGTTGGGGTAAGAATTGCAGGGCTCTCAGGAAGAACAGCGTTGAAGCTCGTGATGCTTCCCTGGGTAAACAAAATCATTACTATTTAGAATTATTATTATTATTTTGTAGTTCTACGGTCTCCTGGTATGGTCTTCAATGGTAGAATATTAAATGACTTCATCACGATCGCAAAAACTTTCAAGAAATCAACTCAAGGGCAATTTCAATATAATAGTTGATTTATATCTTATAGAAATCATGTTATGATTACGTAAATCGTCATTTAATGGTTCGCATGTTTCAGTATGTGATGGACAAGGCGAACGAAATTTCTTTAGGCTGATTTGTCTAGTCTTGGCGATGTTGTTTAAACAAAGAAGTTAGACCTACAAGTGAAATATCGCAAAAACTATAAGGTATGTGAAAGTTTCCTGACATAAATCTTTGAGAAGCTTTGGGGCGTCAATTTCATTTATTATTTTATTGTATTGAACATATACAATCAGAACATATCAATCTTTGCTTAATCTTCGGTTTAGTCAAAGTAACTTATTGTGTTTCACTTTGTAAAATCGCTCAAATGAATACTACGAAGTCTTGATTTAAGAACTTTAAAAAATGTAAAAACATGTTATAAGGCTGATACCAATGATGTAGCGAGACCGGGGGGGGGGGGGGTGTTTCATCAACATTTTCCCGCGACAATTGTCAGCGCTGACTAAATTTTCCATAGGCTCCTTTGAGTTTGCACGCTATACATAGGGGCGTTGTTAGAAGGAATGCGGATTGACACCAATAAGCCACCTCCTAAAAAAAGGGTTACCACAAGCATAAACCTAAACACATTATTAAGTAGAAGGGGCACAATCAAAATGTCACCTAAAGATAGAGGTTGTAGATTTCGACGATGACAACCCATGAAAACTGCCTATTGTCTATTGCATTATCACCCAAGTTGCCTTATTATATCAACTCATACCAAACTCCCCATGGCATGTCCACCCCTGTACATGGAAGTGTAATAATTCTTGTAGAGGACCCTGTGCATTTGAATGTGTTTTTTACATGCTGAGAATCATCACCACCATGCTGTAAATGGTTCATTTTCATCATGTTCATAATTCGTCGGCTTTCCGGAAGAAGGCCATAACAGTAATACAGTGCCTCAATGGCAGTAACGGCGTTCTTTCGTGCAGCCAACAAATTGAAAACAAATTCCTTTTTCGATTATTAACAGGCTTTAAAGGTACTATTAAATGAATTAAATGTCCTATCTGTAAATTTTAATCGTTAGCAGTGTCTTAATAGTATTCAAATTATGCAAGGAAACCCGTTTACTTTCTAGACTTCACTGTCAGACACTGTTGAGTGACTGAATAACTTCTTTTTTTCTTTGGTAGTAACATACATAAAATGAGCTGTAAATGGTACATGAGCATTTGTCTACATTAATAACCCACTTCTTGTAATGGCCAAAATTATACTCATTGAATCTTTGCGCAGCACAAAATGTGCGACCATTCGGTACAAGGGTCTGAAAATCAGACTATTACTAAATAGATTGCAATCGCTAAAGTCGATTCGACAACGGTCGTTATTTTCCCACTACAAGACATTTTCAAGCCCTTTCGTTTTGAGGAAGTTCTAAATAAGTACTATCTTTCAAATGCCTTTGGAATTTAACCTTTTGGTACTTGGTACTTGTTAGGATTCCTCCAAAAGACGCCGTAAAGGTGTTTAAACTGGACGTGTGTCGTCATGTGCGGCCATCAACTTAAGGTGCTGGTTTTTAGTTGGTTTAAGCGCATATTTAAAAGCATTTAAGGAAGATTGGGATGAATTAAGGGAGAAAGACTGTTCCAGTCCTTAATTGTCCTTGGGAAGAATGAGTATGCATGTGCATCCGTCCTGACTTGGTTGATATGGAACTGTTGGTCATGGCCCCGTCTTGTTCGTTCTACAGTGTACCTTCGGTGAGTTGTAATCCTTGTAGTTGATGTCCATCAAATTAGTCATGGACCATTTTGTACACACAGGTAATACGAGACTTCTGTCTTTCATCCTGGAGGGGATCCAGCCCATTGAGACCTTCAAAGCAGTTACACTTGAATACCTTGCATTTTTTTTAACGAATCTACCTGTTGCATTCTGGACTCTCTCAATCTTGCTGATGTTGCTGATCGTATATGGATCCCAGGCTGAAGAAGCGTACTTAAGATGAGGTTTAACCAGCATATAATACAGCTTCTCCTTTGTTTTTGTTGAAGATTGATTGAAGTTACTTTACAAGAAGTTGACTACTTTCATGGCCTTACTTCTTGAATTTTTAACCTGCTTGTTCCATCTCATATCATTTTGAAGGATTATACCCCAATATCTGGTAGGTTGTTTCTGTTGTTTCTTCGAGATTGACTCCCATCACCTGGTAGGATGTTCTGTTTGGTTTCCTGTCCCTCGTGACTCGCAAAGCAATGTGCATTTACTCAGGTTGAAAGTCATTCCCCAGGTATTGGCCCAGTTGACCAAGGTCTGTTTGCGGTATTTCCTCATCTTTGGGTGATCTCATGGTGTTGTAGATTAAGCAATCATCCGCAAAGACTCTAGTAGTACTCATCACACCATTATCATTTTTTTTTAGGGGGGGGGGGGGCTACAAATCGGACATTCTACCTTTCAACCTTTTTCTTGAAGGGGTGAAATCAAGTCTAAATTTCGTTACTTGTATAACTGACCTACTGGCCTAGTGCCTGGGAATATTACAGTTTATATAATACAATATGCTTACTGCAAATTGATGGGTCAATGAGTTTTCATGCATCTTTTGTCGGTCAGCTCCTAAAATGCCCGACTACCGCTAACGTACTTCTGGTTTTGACCACACTGTACCAGCAATTATCATGACAAGGCAATTGTATTAAGGTATAAGCTGCATCTCAACAGGAGCATATTCGACACCAGTTGCCGGCCACGCCTGTTACACATTGGTAGAAGGCTGCACATAAGAGGGTCCAGCTATTTAGAAAGAGCAGTTAAGTCTCCCAAATCGGCAATTTATCGCTGATTTTAACACAGCCCTGGAGGAAGTCATCGATTTCTCGACTCAAAGATGTCTTCGACCACCGTTTCCTCGTTCGTCTTCGTCCTCCTCCTCCTCTGCGTCTTCCAAGCGGATTGCCACCCTTCAGGCGCGCCAATTGAGACCTGTGGTAACGGGAACCCGATTTACGGGAACCCGAATCACCATACCAGGGCCAGCAACTACACCGATGAGTATGTACCACAGTCGGCTCGGAGCAACCCCTTCAAGTTCCTAGCTCATTCCCCTACCTACCAACCAGGAAAGAATCTGAGAGGTAACAAAAATATTTCGTATTTGTTGAGACACAGTTGTATTTTCACTTCCATCTTCTGTGGAGGTGTCATATCATAGTGGTTCATTCACTTGACTCTCAATCCAAGGATTGAGGGTTCGAATCCCAGCCCGACACTAACCTCCTTTGGCAAGTCATAAACCCATATTTGCCACTCTCCACCCAGCTGAAAAATGGGTACATTGGAATTGCTGGGGTAAGAATTGCAGGGCCCTCAGGAAGAATAGCTATGATGCTCATGATGCCTCCCTGGGTATGCAAAATCATTATTATTTAGAATTATTATTCTTTTGTAGTTCTTGGGTCTCCCGGTATGTTCTACAATGGTAGAATAGTATATGACTTTAACACGATTGCAAAGATTTTCAAGAAATCAGCTCAAGGGTGTTTTGAGATATAGCTTATTGTATATCCTTTAGAAATCATGTTATGATCACGTAAATCGTCCTTAAATGGTTCACATGTTTCAGCATGTGATGGACGAGGTGAATGAATTTGCTTTAGGCTGATTTTTCCAGTCTTTGCGATGTTGTTTATGCCTAGGTCACATTTGCCGCGGCTGCCGTGCGGTCTAAAATATCTACGGCCAATAGCAATTATAGGACCGCCGCAGCATTCCCACAGTCACATACGGTAGCGGTCACATATGTTAAGGTAGCCGCACTGCGTATTTTAAATTTGTGGAGACAGAAAATCTCCGACTGCCGTACGGCCTTTGTAGTGATGACGCACGGTCGCCTTTAGGCGTCCCTGCGGCGGACGTAGCTTTTTGACAATACTAAGGTAGACGCAAGGTAGCCACAAGGTGCCCGCAAGGCGGCCGAAGGGGGACCATACGGCGACCGTGCGGCCAGAATGATGCTACCGCTTCACACCTGCAGTATATAAAACTCAAGGCTACCTTACGCCCGACGTACGGTCGCCGTTGAACCGCTCTACGGCATGGCTACAGCATGTCTAGTCGCTACGGCGAATCAAGAAATGAAAACCGTTTTCACTCCGCGTTATAATCCCACGGCGACCCGCAGGCCGCCGCAGATTCTCTGCGGCCGCCGCAAGTATCTCTCGATTTCGGGGGCGAACGGCCGCCGTATCCTGGCCGTAGAGCAAATGTGACCTAGGCATAAACAAGATCTTGCAAAGAGTTTAGACCAACAAGTGAAACATCGCAAAAACCATAAGGTATCTGAAAGTTTCCAACATGAATCTTTGGGAAGCTGTGGGGTGTATAGTTCATTATTATTTTGTTGTATTGAACATTTTATACAATCAGATTATATTAACAATCAATCTTTGCTTAATCTTCGACTTAGTCAAAGTCACGTATCAAAATCGCACAGATATTTCGAATGTCCATTTAAGATTTGTTTTAACACCAACGATGTAGCGAGACCATTCTCGAGCTCAGATTGTTGATGCATCAAACTTGGTCTCGAGTTCATGGCCTAAAATAAGTTGGGAAGCGCGTTAAATCATACATCGAGTATTCTGGGATGGACCGTTGCGACCGAACTTAATATTTTGAAGCAAGACAGGGGTTATTGAG